AAAAAAAATAAAAAACTGCGATGCGGAGGATCTTTCTATTAAAATTAAGAGCTCATATTTGGTGAGAATTGTTTTAAGGTATCTAGCAACCCATTTTTCCGTGGCACTTTAAAAAAAAAAGTCATTTTTTTGACCCACCCTAATATATATATATATATATATATATAGAGAGAGAGAGAGAGAGAGAGGGAGAGAGAGAGAGAGAGAGAGAAAATTATAATGATTAATAAGTAATTTTTCAAGATTAACGAAAAATATAATATGCGAATAATTGTATTAACCATTTACATTTTAACCAGCAACATTATCGAACGGATATTGTACGTTTTCAATTACATATGGTATATAGGGATAACAGAAAAATATATCTTTTTGTATTTTTTTTAAATTTTTTATTTTAATAAAAATCCCTAGATTTTTCTCTATCTAATTGATATTAATTGACATAGAAGAAAAAATATGTAAATAAAGTAAAAGGATTAATTACAGAGAGAAGAATAATGATGGTAGATTTAAATGAAAATTTGCTGAGGGTGGTGGAAATGGGGAGTGAGGGGACTGGAGAGGGGTGGGTGAGGGATTTAATTTGAAAGGATTGTTAAAGCAAATTAAATCTCTTTTGCGTGGGTATGGAGTCAATCGGTTTTTCGCGGGAAATTCGAGATCGTTTGGTATATAACGTATTGGATGATAAAAAGTAGTAAGGGCTGAACAGGATGCGAAAGGAAGAAAGGAAGGAAGAAAGGAAGGAAGAAAGGAAGGAAGGAAGGAAGGAAGGAAGGAAGGAAGGAGGGAAGGAAGGAAGGAGGGAAAAGGGATGCCTCCGTAGAACGACGTGACTTCATTTCCTCGTGCAGTATAATACTACTCGTACATATACGTGTCTCGTCGTTCGTCTTATTCTTTTATTTTTTTTTTATTATTTTTCTTCTTCTTCTTGTACCTTTTTTTCCTTCCCTTTCCGTATAACGAGCTTAACGAGCAGCCGGTCACGTCACAACGAAGGAAAACGGTTTTTTCGTTCGTGCGGCGATGCCCTTTGGCATTCATGCTATGCGAAATATCTTTGTTTCTTTCGATCGTTCACCGAAAGTGATTGGTTTGTCATTGCAGAAGCTGAACATGGGTATGCTTCGACGATGCCGATACCCGATGATATGCGGACGGTCACAAAAAGGCCAAAAACGAAAAAATCCCAAGGCAGTAGGTATGTATATATCATTTATTTATTTTATATATTTATATGCATATATATGTGTGCCCACATAATTATGAAAGTGGTCTAAAGTCAAAATTTAAAAATAAGAAATGAGTTTATCCGTTATTTCTCACCACATTATTTTAATTTAAATAAATTCAGTGTAATTTTCTACGACATATCGCCAAAAATAAATCGTCAGATAGTCCCTAGTAACACAAGATATTGAAAAATATTGAATGCATGTGTATTTAATATTTTTCAATATTTTGTGGTACTAGGGGTGTTTATTTCAATATTATATGGAATTCATTTAGTGTTCAAATGTAATTCTTGAAATATCTCGAAACAATGTATAACTTACAATTAGACCATTTTCATAATTATGGGCACATATATTGTTTATTTTTTTTTGGATTGTTTCCTGTTGTCTTTATGTTTGACGATTTAACACCCGACGATTGCTAAAATTCATATTGTACTAGCCATTTTTATTTCTCATTTCATTACGTGTTCTTTGTAAAGAAAAATCTTTTTTTTCTTCTTTATATCTAATTTATTTATTTTATTTTGTTTTTTTTTAATGAATTCTTTACTATTTCGAAAATATTATACTACATTTGTCAGTACTTAATTTCTACGTGTATTTAAAAAAAAAAAAAAAAACAAGACAGTTTTACATTTTTAACGATGATCAGCTGTTAAATGGTAATCGACGTGCCTAAATCACAATCAATAATGTATAAATGTTAACAACCAAGATTATTAATAATTTTATTCTTTTATTTTCTTCTTTCAGAACAACTCATAACGAGCTAGAGAAAAATAGGTGAGTGAGAAAGAAATATGTGTTTATATATTATTATCTTTTAAAATAGAAATTAAAAAAAAAAAAAAAATAGAAGATAAGATTTTATAGGAAAAACAACGTAAAAGAGAATTACCGAAGTGTTGTATAAAAGCATAGGGTGATCTAATCCTTATTGGATGCTCGTGTTCACTTTTAAATACTATCTCACGTAGTTATCACGACATCATTGCTCGGTCACGCCATTTAATGGCTAATTACTATGGTCCCAATGGACCATATTAAAATATAATCATATATGTGTATATATATAACATGTATAATAACGCACACACATACACATATGCATACACATATATATTATACGTTTAATAATAATGTTGTATTATAATAATGAAAAATCATGACAAAAAAGTTGGAAAGAAAAAAAAAACAAAAATATTAGAAAATATTCGCGAATAGTAAAAGGTACAAACGAGATTTTTGAATCTCCCTCTCTTTCCTCCCCCCTCTATCTCTCTCTCACTTTTTTTTATTGTGAAAAGAAAAAGAGAAATAAAGAGAGAGAAAGAGAAAGAGAAAGAGAGAGAGAGAGAGAGAGAGAGAGAGAGAGAGAGAGAGTACGAGGACAGTTTATCGATTTTTTGTTCACGACGACGATGTAGGGGTGGGGTGTGTAGAGTACAGAGAGGGTGCTGAGAAGGGGGAGGAAGGCGTGTAAAGAACGCGTGGCACATAAACGACCTGTGTAAAAGCTCATACCGGCAAACAGCAAGTCCATGTGTGTTACAACACCGTAGGCCAGGTTACATAACGCGAGACTCATATAAGATGATCCTTGCTACACGTAGTATCGTTTTCTAACGAGGATCATCATTATATCACCAATGCTATTATTTTTTCTTTCATTCTTTCATTTTTTCTGTCATCGATGGTTTTATTGGAGAACATTTTTTTTCTTCATTTGTTATATTATTATTTGTAATTTAAGTCAATATAAATTTACATTTCAAATTGGTAATAATAATATTAATAATTGATAGATAGATAGATCTTTTGTTATTAATAAGAATATTCTAGTATGTCTTTTTTATGTTATATATTAGGGGGACCGAAAAATAATTAAAATTTTTCTTTGCTGGCGAAAAACATTTATTTATTAAGGAAATTTTAAATGCTAATCAATAACAAATTTTGTTATCATTTTCTAACACTTTTTGCCTTACGTAAAGAAAATTGTTCAATTTCTTTTTTACAAAAATCTTTCGATTTTTCATTGACACAAACTAATTATGAGTGTACTCATCAAAGAAATTTTTTTCGTACATTTAAGTACGTGTACTATAACTATATCTATGTAGATACAATGTTACAAGAAAAAATATGCATAAGGGGAAAGAATATGCATAGAAATTTTATAATCCAAGATAATAATGCTTTTATACGATTTAGATAGATCTCGTAATCGTATAATTTTTTATTAAGGTGTCCTATCATTTCTTAAAAAAAACTTCTTTCATTCTTGCTTTTTTCTTTTCTTCTTCTTTATTTTTTTTCTTTTTAACTTTTTTCTGATAATCTTACGTGATTTATAAGCTCAACGACCTCGTCCTTCCTTGGTTTTCTTATCGATAAGATCCACCTAGAAAGAAGTACGTAAGAATACCCAAGAAAGGTAGGAGAAAGAGAGAGAAGGGATGGGAAAGTGAAAGGGGTAGGGGGAATCTTTCTTTTCTGATTCGATGACAACAATGAAAACGACGAAGACGATGGTTGGTTATGGTGATGGTGATGCTTTCAACATAATAATAAAATAGAAAATAGGAAAATATATATATAAAATAAAGTAAAAATATAAGAGAGATAAAACAACGTGGCCGTAAAAAGCTGAAATGTTCAAAATGCGATTTTAGCAAGGTCTGCTTCGACAGAGAGTGAGAATTTCGTAAGAACGAGAAGACGCTATGTAGTTTTTAGTAATAGTGGGAGGGAAAGAGTTAAAGAATGTATGAGAGAGAGAGAGAGAGAGAGAGAGAGAGAGAGAATGAAAAGGAAAGAGAGTACGTTTATAAGATAGGCATTATTCGCCGTTGAGTTTACACACTAACCTCACCTCTTTGGTGAACATTCGTGTCCGTGTTTCGCTGCAGATGCTAATTTCCCAACTGTTGCTATTTACGACGACACTAAAGCCATGCAAACGCATTAACGAAGTGCACGTATACCGGGACCGGGACCGGTACTGGGGCCCCCGGTACACATCGCCATAATTACACGGATATGTAGTTTAACGCTTTTAAACGTAACTGATGCCAAAACCCGACGTTTTGCGATCGTTTTCGACGTTATTATTATTCTCCGCATTATTCAACGTAAAAAATAGTGTTATTTTGTATTACGTGAAAATCGAATGAACGGGATAATAAACTATAGAAGACGATTACGTATATATATATATTTTTTTTTTGTTTTGTTTTTTTTTCTCTTAAGAATTACGATTTTATTTCAAAAGCGTCAATCATTGCTAAATTAGATACTCGTTTTATTATTTTTCTATTATTTTATCATTAATCACATTTATGTATATGTTTAGTTTTTTTCTTTCATATTCTTTATCTCTTTTGAAGATAAAGAAAGAGAGATATAGAGAGAATCAATCATATATTTTCAAAAGATCATTAATTTATTTTTATATATATGATTCAATTACTATACACTCATATTTAATTTTTTTTTAAATATACTTTTATCGTATATAACTATTTTCTGTTTGTTTCCAAAGGAAAAAAATCGTGTTTGTGATAAGTTTGTATTAATTTCAAATCGATCATCTAAATTGTTCTCTCTTTTTCAATTTCTCTCTTTTTCAATTTAGTTTCAATCGATTTCACGTGACGATCCTTTATACACTTTTCTCTCTCTTTCTTTCTTTCTTTTCGTCTTCATGAATGATTTAAACTACGTATAAACGTAAGTAGTAGGAGGACACAACCGAAGTCAGTCACACAAGAGGAGTAGAAAAAGAAGAAGAAAGTGGGCTGATGCAGGTGCATAAGTATGCGAGGCATACCGTACGTTAGAGTAAAGTATATATATATATATATATATATATATATATACGTAGGAGAGTAGAGGGCAACGACATCCTGTCCTAAATTTGGCCACGAGCCGGCTATAACGCCTTGAAAATAAATCCGGCACTCGGTATGTGTTTTACTATACTTTGTTGCATTCGTCGTTCAGCTACACAACGTCGTAGTTCAACGCCGTGGACAAAGACCTTTTCTATGTTCTCTATCTCTCTCTCTCTTTCTCTCTTTCATTATATTACATTCATCATTCGATCATTATAACTATTTCTCATTTTTTTTCTTCTTCTTCCATAATTTTATTATTAAATTCCTTTATTTTTTATTAATTTATTTTTTTCAATATAGAAATGAATTTTTTTCCCTTTTTTCTCCTGCCACCCCCACGACACGTATGTTGTAAATTTTCTAAATTCACGTTTCGGTTTTTGTTTTTTTTTAATTTTTTTCTTTTTTCTATAATTTTATTATTATTTTTTTCCTTTTTCTTGTTTCGTTTGTTATTAATTTATTTTTTCCAATATAGAAATGAAATTTTTTCCCTATTTTTTTTTTCCTTCCACCCCTATGACGCGTACTTCGTAAATTTTCTAAACTCACGTTTCCTTTTTTTTTAGTAATTTATTTTTTCCAATATAGAAATAAATTTTTCTTTTTTTCTTTTTCTCCTTCTACCCCATGACGCATACGTCGTAAATTTTCTAAGCTCACGTTTCTTTATTTTTTTTTTTTAAATTTTTCTTTTCCTTTCTATGACACAACGATGACGAGGGAGTGAACAACGTGACACGCGAAACGTTAGGATTATCGTTTATTCCCGTGTAGAAGAAAGTCAACGTTTGTACTTGAGGACCTACGAGCCGTGACAGTAATTAGCCTTTGAACGGAATAATAGGTTATCACAGCGGTAAATCAGTACCGTTAATGCTCACCATGACGACATCGCTTCTGCATAACAATAACGTGCCAAGCAGCACCAACTGCACCAGCCTTAGCGAGACCATTAATAATTGTATTAGTAGTAGTAGTAGTAGTAGTAGTAATAGTAGTAATAGTAATAATAATGATGATCAAAATAATAATAATAATAGTAATAGCAGTGGTAGTAGTAGAAGTAGCTGACGATTAGGTTTGTTGGCTTCAGCTTGTTGCTCTTTTACTCGTCGTGGGATGTTAATCGAGTGTTTCTTACGAATAAATCTTCTTAATTAGTCGTCTCGAGTCGATGTAATTTTCAAATGAAAAATAAAACAAAATTATATATATATATATATATATATATATATAAAATAAAAAATGTATTTTAACTGCTAAGAAAAAGAAGAAGAAAAAAAATGGGATAGTAATATCGTCGTATACATTGTATTCAATTTTCTTGAGAGAAGAATATTTTCTTTTGAAATATGATCGAGAAAACGCACACCTAACTCTGATACCTACACACATACACACACGTATATATATATATACACGTAACACTGTAACACAAATTTGTTGAAAATTGATTCGAAAGTGTTTCTACGAAGGGGAAAGACATTTTTTTCCTTTTTCCGATAAAATCATCTTTTCTCCATGGTACTTATCGTCATATCCTACGGATAAACGCTCGATTCTAGGCATCGTCGAAAAAACGAATCCTCGGGTGGTGGTGGTCGTTGCTGCTACTGCTTTTGCTGCTAGAGGGTACTAAGAGTGGGGAAAGAAAAAAGGGGTGGAATCGAAAGCTTTCTTTTACTTTTTATTCTTTTTCTTTTCTTTTTTTCTCTCTCTCTCTCCTTCAAGCTTTGCCGAGAGAGTAAAACCGGAGAAGAGAGCGTGCGCGAGTGTTCCAAGCGAAAATTAAGGCAGCAAACCCGGCTCTTGCAGCAGGGCCGTAGGGAGCACAAGACGATTCCTGGGTCCATTTGAAATGCATTGAATTTTTAAGCACCC